AATTTTTTTAAATTTGTAGAGGCTTGCCTTGTTTCCCAACATATGGTCTATCCTTGAGAATGTTCCATGTGCACTTGAGAAGAATGTGTATTCTGCTGTTTTTGGATGAAGTGTTCTATATATGTCTATTAAGTCCAATTGTTTTAGCTTTTCGTTTAGCTCCGCTATTTCCCTGTTGATTTTCTGTCTGGATGATCTGTCCATTAATGTGAGTGGGGTGTTGAGGTCCCCTACTATTATTGTGTTGTTTTTAACATCTTCCTTTAGGTCTGTTAATAGTTGCTTTATGAACTTTGGTGCTCCTGTGTTGGGTGCATAGATATTTATTAGCATTATTTCTTCTTTGTGAAATGTCCCTTTGATCATTATATTTTCTCCCTCTGTGTCTCTCTTTACCTGCCTTATTTTGAAATCTGTTTTGTCTGCTATATGCATTGCAACACCTGCTTTCTTTTGCTTGCTATTAGCTTGAAGTATTGTCTTCCACCCCTTCACTCTGAGCCTGTGTTTGTCCTTGGGGCTGAGGTGTGTTTCCCGGAGGCAACAAATTGTTGGATCTTGTTCTTTAATCCATTTTGCCTCTCTGTGTCTTTTTATTGGAGAGTTCAGTCCGTTTACATTGAGGGTGATTACTAATGTATGAGGGCTTAATGCTGTCATTCTGTTGCTCGTTATCTGGTTTTCCTGCATCTCCTTTGTTTCTCGTCCTGTGTGTTTTAGCCTACCCATTGACTTCTGCAATTTCTTATGCTGGGTTTCTTAGATTTTTCCTTATTTATGTTTTGTGTCTCTGTTCTGTTTTTTAGTTTAGTGGCTACCCTGAAGTTTGTATTTAGAATCTTGTCTATAATATACACCATTCTCTGGTGGTCTCTTACTTACTTGGCCTAGACTGATTTAGTCCCTTTCCTCTTCCCCTCCTAAATTATTATTTTCATGTCTTATTCCAACTCATGTTATGAGTTTGTGGTTAGAATGATAAGATCCTCTTTGCTTTGGTGGTTTCCTTCCCTTTATCCTAATGCTATAGTTGAATATTTGCTATCCTATTCTGGTTCTATCTGTCTCCCTACTCTGTGGTATGTGACCCCTTTCTCCCTTTTTTTCTTTTTTCAGGTATGAGAGCCTTCTTGAGGATTTCTTGTAGTGGAGGACTTTTGGTTACAAATTCCTTTAACTTTTGTTTGTCTGGAAAATATTTAATTTCTCCCTCATATCTGAAGGATATTTTTGCTTGATAGAGTATTCTTGGCTGAAGATTTTTATCTTTTAAAGTTTTGAATATGTCACTCCATTCTCTCCTAGCTTGTAAGGTTTCTGTAGAGAAATCCACTGAAAGTCTGATAGGAGTTCCATTGTAGGTTATTTTCTTCTGTCTTGCTGCCCTGAGTATTCTTTCTTTGTCATTCGTTTTTGCCATTTTTACTACTATATGCCTTGCAGTAGGTCTTTTTACATTGACAAATCTAGGAGATCTGAAAACTTCCTCCACACACATTTCTCCATCCATCCCTAGATTTTGGAAGTTCTCCTCTATAATTTCATTAAGCACGCTTTCTGCTCCATTTTCCTTTTCCACGCCCTAAGGAATTCCAATGATTCTTAAATTGGTTCTCATTGAATCTGCTATTTCTCCAATGTTTTCCTCATTCTTTTTAATCCTTAGTTCTCTTTCTTCCTCTGTCTGGAGCCATTCAGCCTATCTTCAATTATGCTAATTTTCTCCTCTATGGTGTCTACATAGGTATTCAGGGAATCCGTATTCTGTTTTTTCTGATCCATTGTATTTTTCATCTCTAGTATTTCTGATTGATTCTTCTTTATAGTTTCAGTCTCTTTTGTGAAGTAACTCCAGAACTCGTTGACTTGTTTCTCTATATTTCCCTTTACCTCATTGAGTTTTTTGATGATAGCTACTCTGAACTCATTTTCACTTAGTTTACCTGTTTCCAAGTCCTCAGGACTTAAGTCTGTGTTTTTATTGTTTTCCTTCTGGTCTGGAGCTTTTATAAATTGCTGGATGGTAGAGGAGCAGTTTTTGCGCATGATGGTAGTATTCGGTTGCTGTTACGGCCTGTCGCCACTAGATGGGGGTCGAGATCCACGTGTTCTGAGTCCTCCGCCCTCAGCTGCGATGGCGGCGCACAGCGTGGGTTGGGGTAGGAGGGGCACTTTCTCTCCTGTGCAGACCTGGGTTCTGATCAGCTCTGGCTCTCTGGTCGCCCGGGTCCCTGGCTTGATGGGATCCCCATACATGGAAGCTTTCCCTCATCAGTGGGTTTCCACTGTACCGGCAGTGGGAGTCCTGGATGATCCCCAGATGTGCGGCCTCTTCCCCACTCCTTCCTCTACGCACGGCAGCGATCCCAGTCTCTAGGGGAGTGAGCAAAGTTCTCTCTTACCCTGTTCCAGCTCCTCCGAAGCCAGCTGCAGCCTCTCCGTCCTCCGTTGTCTTGCTGCTGTAGGTCTCTGGCGGTCTCTGTATTAGGGTTATTGGTTGAAATTCAGTTGTTCCAGTTCTTTGGTTGTGGTTTGGAGGGGAGAGAGTCCCAGGTCAGCTCACCCGCCGTTTTGCTGACGTCACTCCTCAACACTGTTTTATGATAAAAAGCACTCAACAAACTACGAATAGGATGAAAGTACTTCATAATAAAAGCCATATATGAAAAGCCCACAGCAAACCTTATACTCAAAAGGGAAAGATTGAAAGCTTTTCCTCTAAGATCAGGAACAAAACAAGGATGCCTGTTTTTGCCACTTTTCTTGAACATGGTACTACTGGAAGCCCTTGCAGAGCAGTTAATCAAGTAAAAGAAATAAAAGGCATCCAGATTAGAACAGAAGATGTAAAATTATGTTTCCCAATGATACGTTCTTACGTGTATAAAACCCTAAATTTCCACAACAAAACTTTTAGAACTAATAAATGAATTCAGTGAAATAGCAGGATACAAAATGCAGAAAAATTGTTCTATTTCTATATCCTAAGAGTCTGAAAAGTAAATTAAGAAGAAACAATCCCACTTACACTAGCATGAAAAATAAAATACTTAGGAATTAACTTAACCAAAGAGGTGAAGGATTTGTACACTGAAAACTACAAAACATTGCTGAAAGAAATTAAAGACATAAATACATGGAAAGACATCCCATGTCCATAGATTGGAATACTTAATATTTTAAGATGTCAGTAGCACCCAGTGTGATCTACAGATTTGATGCAGTCCCTATCAAATCCCAAAGATTTGTTTTTTGCAGAAATAGAAAAATCATCCTAAAATTTATATCGTATCTCAAGGGACCCCTAGGAGCCAAAACAATGTAGAAAAAGAACAAAGTTGGAGGACTCAGACTTCCTCATTTCGAAACTTACTAAAAAGCTGTAGAAGTAAAACCAGTGTGCTACTGGTATGAAGATAGTCATAAAGACCAATGAAGTACAGTAGGGAGCCCAGAAGTAAACCCTCATCTATATGATCAAATGATTTTAGACAATTGTGCCAAGAACATTTAGTGGGGAAAAGATAAGTCTTTTCTACAAATGTGCTGAGAAAACTGAATATCCACATTTAAAAGAATGCTTGGACCCTTACCTAATAACCATATACAAAAATTAACTCAAAAACCTAAATGTAAAAGCTAAAACTGAAACTCCTAGAAGAAAACATAGAGCAAAATAATAACTTCCCAACGTTGGATTCAGCAGTGATTTCTTAGGTACGGCCCCAAAGCCACAGGCAACAAAAAAATATAATAGACAAATTGGACTTGATGAAAATTAAAAATTTTGTGAATCAAAAGACATAGTAAAAAGAGTACACAGAGTAAAAAGGCAACCCACAGAATGCATTGTATATCTGCTTTAGGTATTCCCTATGGCAAGAACAAAGGCCCTTGAGCTAAAGGTGCAACTTCCCTCCCCCTCCCAATGCTGGCATTTCCTTAAGGATTAAGCATCTTTCCTTAGGCTAGGAACTGATTGCTGTGCTCACCTGTGACCACCCAGCTCGAGACAATAGACTTGCCTAGACCCACTACCTGCTGTGTCCATCAAGTGCTGTGCCGAAAGGGCAATCTTGTGACTATTGTGGGAGGGACATTTCAATCATATGTGAAACATCCTGTTTGGGGGTATATAACCACTCTGTATACCTCACTTCTTCGGTGCCCTTTCTTCCTTCGGGAAGAAAGGCCCCAGGCCATGGTCCTCATATTTTAGCTCAGAATAAACTCTCCCAAATTTTCATTTATAGATTAGTTATGGATTATTTTCATCGACAATGTTTATGTGCCCCCAAATTTCATATGTTCAAGTCCCAATCCCAGTGTGTTGGTATTTGGAGGTGGGGCCTTTAGGAGATATTTAGGTCATGCGCGTGTAGCCCTCATGAATGGGATTAGTGCTCTTATAAGAAACACCAGAGATGATCTCTTTTTTGCGCACGTGGGGCTACAGCAAGAAGCCATCCATCTGCCAACCAGGAGTGGATTCTCACCAGGAACAAAATTGACTGTTGGCATCTTGATCTTGGACTTGCCACCCTCCAGAACTGTGAGAAATAAATTTGTGTTGTTTAAGCCACCCAGTCTGTGGAAATATATGTAGATACACAAAAGATTTGAAAGCAGGATCTCAAAGAGATCTTTATGCTCTCATGTTCATAGCAGCATCATTCACGATAACTAAAGGTTGAAAGCAGCTCTGGAATGTGTTTACAGTATTGAGCAGTACCAACAAATGTTAGAATGGGCTCACAAAAGCAGTTTTGAAATTTTGTCTAGTGTAATAGGATTAACTTTTCTTTTTACTCTTAAATTACTTTATGTTCTATCTGGAAATAATGAATACTCACCACATTAATTATTTTATTTTTGTTTATAGCCTCCTGTTTTTCTATTTAATAGACACGTTTAGGTCGCAGTAAGAACGTATTTGAATGCCAATAAATCTTCTGGTTTACCCTTAATTTTTTGGTCTTTTGTGTCGTGTTTAAATTTAGATATCCAAAGAGAAGAAGAAAAAGTGAAACGTTCTGTGAGAGATGCTGCCAGGAAGGGTCAGAAGGATGTCTGCGTGGTTCTGGCCAAGGAGCTGATCCGGTCAAGGAAGGCTGTGAGCAAGCTCTATGCCTCCAAAGCCCACATGAACTCCGTGCTCATGGGGATGAAGAACCAGCTGGGTAGGACAGCCCTTACCTTACAGCCACCTTGTTAATGCTGGTGCCCTCGCCATGATTAACACCAGTTTCCTTGAATAGGAAGAACAGTTTCAGCTCTGGTTTTTATTTTTTATATTGTCTTAGTTGGGGTGTTATACAAATGCAAAATATAATTATTACTATCATTATTTTATTGTTACTCATTTGCTGCTGCTGCTGCTTCTTTTTTTTGGTGAGGAAGATTGGCCCTGAGCTAACATCTGTTACTAATCTTCCTCCCTCAAAGCCCCAGCACACAGTTGTAAATCCTAGTTGTGGGTCCTTCTCGCTCTTCTTTGTTGGATGCCATGACAGCATGGCTTGACAAGTGGTGCTAGGTCCACACCCAGGATCTGAACTGGCAAACCCTAGGCTGCTGAAGCAGAGTGAGGTGAACTTAACCACTACGCCACCATTATCTGTTTTCTTTTGCCAGTGTTGTTGAAGTAATGGCAAAATCTACATATAAACCTGCGGTATTTAAAATTTAGGATATATTTCCTCTTGTGAACAGTGTTATACAGCGACCTGAGAATTGAGTCACGGAGCAGGAAGTGGGCCTGTGTGTTGGAGGAGGAGAAAGAAGCGTTTCCTCTGTCCTAGGCCCCGCCCCAGGCAGAATTTTGGAACAGGCTGAGTTTGTCTTTAGCTTTTACCCCCCACCTTTTCTGCTGCTTCTCTGGCTCTCCACCTCCTGCTGCCGTACAGCGTAGGGCTCTGCAGACTGCAGAGTGGGTATTCAGCATGCATGTGAACCATCAATTTAATTTTTTAAAACCCATTATAATATTTAACATTAAAATAAATATAGTTTCCCTTCAGCTCCCAGTGTAATACTGGTTGTGATCTTTCACAGGCATCTGTCTCCACATCAGCGACAGCTTGAGCCATAGGTTAAATTTTACATCCAGTCGGCTGCTTTTCTTACTCAATTTCTGTTAAATGAAGAAGTCCTAACTCAGAATTATAGTTCTTTGAGAATGGCAGCAAGTGACTGTCAGATATTTAGACTGAGTACACACTCAGAAATTACAGAGAAATTTTTCACTAAAGAATGTTTTCAGCTCTGTCAGATACCACATTGATGAGTACGTCACACTCAAAGCTTAGAAGACTTGAATCTTTCCGTTTAGAGGCTGGTGGCAAATGAGTACCTAATCCATTATTTGGTTGTATTTGGCTCTGAGGGTATTTCTTTATGTTCAATTTTAACATTTGGATCTGGTTTTTTAATATGTCTAATAATGAATATAGCATCAGATTCTTTCTCCAGATACTGAAGAAAATTATCATGAATTGGAAAAGAGTAAAAAAATACGACAATCAAACTGTACCATGCCTTAACTTTTAAAAACTGTGTCATTTCAGCCCTCGAGTAATGTATTTAGGCTCTTTAAATACTGAATGTATAATGTCGATATATGCCTCTTGAACAAGCCAGGTGTTCAGTACCATGAAGAAATAGTCTTGTCTTAACTGTCATGTTGAGAGCTTAAGTAAATACTCTTGCCTTCTACAGCCAGCATTGAAAGTTTCGTATTTATACCCCCAGTTTTTGCAACATGCTGGAAAGATCCTTGTTCGGTTGACCATGATAAGCTTATTTTAAAAGTCTTCAGTATTTCGTTTACCGAATCAACATCTCAAAACATGTATCTTAGTCTGCCTTTTTTCTCCTATGAATAAAGCACTGTATGTGCAGCTTCTTTTTTCCCCCAATTGCGGGATAATATAGTAGATGTTTATGGACCTATCACCCAGAACCAATATAGTTTGACATTTTGTTATATTTGCCTCAGGTTTTATATTATAAAGGAAATAAAACAGCATTACTAAGATTGGAGCTCCTTTAATGTGCCTTCCCAATTCCATTTCCTTCTTTCACTCCCCAGAGGTAACCACTATTATGAATCTTAAAATTTGTATAAATGATATTGTTATACTATATATACCATCCTCCATTTTTTTCCCCCATTTATCACTGGGGCTTGAAATATACCCATAAAAAATATATTTTTTAACTACTGGATAGTATTCATCACTGGATGGATGCATGACAGTTTATTTTTCTCTTCCCCCATTGATGGACATTTAGGTTGTTTCAATTTTTGCTGTTACTGACAGTGCTGCTGTGAATGTCTTTTCACTTTTGCACATGTGTAAAGGTTTCTCTAGGACAGTTATATACTCAGAAGTGGAATTGCTGGGTTAAAAATAGCTGGGTTTAAATTTTGCTCGAATTGCACAATTGCTCTCCAAAGAGGCTTTACTGTTTTATATTCCCACCAGCAGCGAGTGAGGGTTCTTTTTTCCATACCTTCTCACCACCCTTTGTCAGACTTCTTAATTTTGAGAAAGGTTATCTTGTTATATTTCTCTGGGAACTATCGAAGTTGATCACTCTCCTCTCTTCACCTTTTCTTCGTGCGTACCGACTCCAAAATACCTTTTCAAGCTATTAATAGTTCTCAAATAATCATTAATCTACGTGAGACAATTCTCTTCTCCTGTAGCATGTACTTTCACTAGCAAACATAACAAAAGCTCTTTTATGTACTGCAGCTAATAGCCTGTTATCCTTTAAATATACATCCTTAACAATGTATTTTCTTTGTTTCAAATATATATTATATTGTGGCTTTAACTCAACTAAAAGGCGAAATATCTGCTGCTTGATCTTTAAATGTTAAAGTGCTCTGAGGCTCCTATCCAGATCCTCTGCTCTTTTCCACCTTCACTGTCTCTCCCCAGGTGATCTCATCTAACCTCATGCATTTAAATGCCAGTGATTTCCAAATTTTTATCTTCAGGCCTGACTTTATCACCTAGTGTGCAGTTGGCATCTCCACTCATGTCTTAGTGAGTATGTCAAAATTCACATGCCCATACAAAAAATCATGGCTGGTCTTACTTCCTCTATATCTCCACCTACTCCCCATATTTTCCCCTGGGAATCCAAGATATCATATAATTGCACCTGTAAATATTTCCACATGGATTTCTAAAAGACAAGGGTTCTATTCCCTGTATTCCCTGGACCTTTAGTTCCTGGGTGTTTTCATGTGATCATTTCCTTTCCACTGTATTTTTCTGTTTCTTTCTGAAAGTAAAAGATTTTAGTCAGCTGTCAGATTTCCCAGACTGATTCTTTAATTTCCTGTTCTTTCCCATTTTCCATTTTGAAAGTATTTATAGTACGTTCCTCACAGGATAGTTGTGAGGCTTAATTCAGTGCCTGGCACATGGTAATTGCTATGATATAGGTTTTACATATTATTGTCGTTGTCGTCATTGATTTTGTCTTTGTGTACTATTTCTTGAGAAATTTCCTCAGCTTTATTTTCTGTTTTTCCTCTTTAATTCTTTTTTTTGGCTATCTTAATTTTCATTTCCAGGAGAGTTCTCTGATAGTTCTTTTTAAAAAAAATCATCCTGTTCTTATTTCAGGAATAAATTTGTTCCTTATTGACATAGTCTTCTTTTTGAAGTTTTCTTGTTTCTTACACTGTTTCTCCGAGCTCCTTCTCCTCACCACCCACTTCTTCCCTCTCTCTCTCCTCTTTTTTAAGAAAGAAGGCGAGAGAGGAAAGCAGGGAGAGAGGGAAGGAGAGAGGGCGGAGGCTGGATTAATAATGTGTAGGCTTCATGAGGACCTTCCCCAGTCTTACCAGGCAGGTAGACTAAGCTACAAAGAGCAAAATGAGAATTCATTTAATAAATCCATTCTTTTAGTCCCCATTATGTGCCAGATATATTGTTGGGCGCTGAAGATAAAATAGTGAACGTTGCAAGCACAGTCATCGCCCTCCAGGTATGGGGTGAAAAGCAAATAAGTGGATAAATTTAATAAAAATAATAAATTTAATAAATAAATGGATATTTATAATTGCAAACTGTGATAAGCAACAGGAGATTGTAAAAAAGAAATGCAGAGCCAGCCCTGATGGCCTGGTGGTTAAATTTCGGTGTCCTCACTGCTTCAGCAGCCTGGGTTAGTTTCCTGGTTGCAGAACCACACTCCTCGTCTGTCAGTTGCCATGCTGTGGCAGTGGCTCACGTAGAAGGACTTACAATTAGGATATGCAACCATGCACTGGGGCTTTGGGGAGAAGAAAAAAAGAAAGAGAAAGGTAGTCAAGGATAACTCCTTTCAGGCACTGATGATGTCTGAGGGGAGGATGAGCAGTTGTGTGTGAGTGTGCATGTGTGTGGGAAGGAGTATTCCAACCAGAGTGCCAGGCAGTATGTGTGAAGGCCCTGGGACCAAAAGGAACTGTGTGCTCAAAACACTGAAGGAAGTTCTAGGAGGTTGGGATACCTGAGAGCAAGGGGGAGGGATGGCCAGAGACGATGAGCAGGGAGGTGAAGACGACAGTACACTGTTAGGAGAGCAAGGGTTTTCAGAGACAAGTTCAGGTTGAGACCTGCTGCAGTGATGGTGCAGATAAACTGCAGTGGGAGTTCAGAGGAAAAGTACTTTGGGGAGAATCAAGGAGGCATCTGAATAGAGGCATTAGGGTGCATGAAGGCTCAGATGAAATATTTCAGACTGGGTTCAACAAACAGCACTTGGTTCAGTTTGACAAGAATGCACTAAGGGGAGCAGTGGGCGGTAAAGCTAGAGAGCTAATTTGGAGTCAGAGTTTTGGGAGTTAAGCTGAGGAACTGTAATTTGGTTTCGTAGGCAGTGGAGAGCCTTGGCACGCTGTAAGCACAGAATACAGGAGCAGGGAGGGACTGATGCGGCGAGATGGGAGGCAGTGGGACCTGAGAGGTAATGGGCAGGGCCTGAATAGGTTAGTGCAGTGGGATGGAGTGGAAGAGAGGACACTATGAAGAACTGTTCTGGATGCAGAGTAAATGGACTTAGTGAGGACAGAAACAAGCCTGAGATGCTCCAAGCTCTTGAACCTGGAATGACTGCAGGGCCATTAAAAGACATTGGAAACCGAGGGAAAGGAATGGGCCTGAGAGATAGGAGA